TTAAAAGGCACGTACTTTCAAATCAAAATGGATGAAATAATTTATAATTATGAGATATACGTGATCGATACAGGTTAAAAGGGAAATTATTAAGTTGTGAGAAAGTCAAGGACTGGATTACGTGTGTGAAACACACATCCTATATGAGGACAGTTGAAGTTGAAGAGGACATTTCTTTGTGAAACGTATTATTGAGTGGGTGTACGTGAGAATTGAGACTCGGAAAAGCGTATGAGGAAATTAAGGTTCGCGGATAAGCCGAAAAGAAATAATATTTGCAAAACGCATAATTTTTCAGCATTCTTTATTGAAGAAAAGCTTTTGACGTTGTATCACACTCGTGTGATACAAGATTCAGGGAATTAACTCGTGTTAAAGTCTTCTTTAGAGCTCGTGTAAGCTAGAACAGGTCGGCAATCTAGAAGTGCATCGATTTATCGTTGTAACGTGCATCGTTTTCCATCGTGTGATAGATGTGTACATCCTTGAAGAACATGTTTGGCGTGAAGAACTTCCACGGATGCATCGGTCTGTCGAGCGGGAAGCCGAATGATTTTCCATCCAGCATAACTTTGCCAAAGACCGGCACGTCCACGGTCGTGATCTTGGTCTCGTCGATCGGGCTCAGATAGAAGAACATCTTGAATCGCATACCCTCGGGTTTACCCTTAGGCAGAGTCAGGCGTTCGGGGAAGGCGAAAAGTTTCTCGTAGTAGGTAAACGGTTCGCTGCCTCCTACAGCTTTCTCCAATTTCTTGTAGAATACGTCGCTGGACATCATGTCGGGCATGGTGTAGACGGAATCGGAGCTACGGCGTTCGATAGTATTTGCGCCTTGTCTCACTGAAATTAAAAAGAGGTGGAGATGAGGCGTGACGTGAATGGTCGGACTCAACTTGATTCTCCAGAGGGAGACGTAAAGAAGGAAATCATTCGTGCTTAAACGTGATCAAAATATGACTTACGCGTTACAACAAACTTGTCCATTTCGACGAAGTATTTGTAGTATTCTTGGAGGTAAGATATGTCCTTCTCATTGTGAACATCACCCATGGCAGGTCCGAGGAAGATCTTGAGCACGGCCTTGGTCTCTTTGTCGCTGTTGATGTTGAAACGATAAACGAATGGCTTGTAGTTGAGGCAATGACGGCGAGCCTTGACGCGTAATTTCATCCCCTCCTTGAAGCTCTCCACGGAAAGAGCGTTATTGATGAACGTGTCACAAGTGTCGAAGTAGGTCGTCAGTTTGTCGATGTTGACAGCGTCGAACTTGACGCCGGGGAGAATCAGTTCGTTCTGAGTATAATACGGCATGTATTTCTTGTACCTACGAGAGAGACAGAGACCAGAGGCCACGCGTTTAAAAACGTTTCAAGTTAAAATGCTTTGCACGCTTGTGCGAATCGAAGAAAGCGCAACAAGATCGCACGTATACGAACCTGAAGAAGTACGTCATGATCCTTTTGTATAGACGGTAGAATGCGGGATCTCTCATACTGGTGCTGTAGCATTGGAGAGAGCTAGGAATCACCATGTTCTTGTCCTTGTAGTCCATGTTGAAGCCGAGGATGTCTCGAGCGAGAGCGTCGTACATGCCGTAGAAATGTCGATTGCACGAATCCACGTTACCTTCGATCAGGTTGGCGAGGATGTTCAAACCTTCGGGAGTGTAAATGTTGACCTGCTTGCCGTTCTTGTCGTATGCGTAGCCAAGGTCGATAGCATTCATTATGCGCAATTCTAGGGCCTCGATCTCCTGTAAAGTTTCACGCGAGATTTATAAACGGGACGGTGGACGGTAGACGGTAGACGGATCGTAAAACGAATAGCGGAAAAATAGTCGCACCTTCAGATACTTGTATTTATAGAACGGCACATTCATGTGGCGAGAACGTTGAGGCATGGCGATTCCGTTGTGGTACATCAAACTCGAATAGTAGCCCGGGTAGAAAGGTTTGTTCCAATCAAAGTCTTCGATGTCACCCAGATCGTTGGACATGCGTTCCAGATAGTAGCGACCTAACAGTTGCTTGTGGAAGAAATGGTAGTAGTGGCCACGGAAATCCTTTGGAATGTCGAAATCCTTCATGTCGAGCCAGAATGGCATAACTTGGCGGAAGTAGTAGTAGAAGCTGTTTAAGGCAATGTCTTCGATGAAGTAGTCCAATTTGGACTCGTCGTCGAAATAGGGCTTGACGAAGTTTCCCCTATAGTTGGCATAGACGGAATTGTTGGCATAGATCATGTAGCTGTCGACGGTGTCCACGTTGGTAGAGAGTCCTGTAAATTGGGATAAAATTGGTAATACGGTATAAAAGCAGCGGAAGGGACATTATTTGCTCGGTCGACGTACTTACTAAACTTACTTGATAGAATTTCGTTAGTTACTTATCGTGTTGTTAGTTAGTTAGTTAATCGCGCGTTAGTTAACTTACCACGAGTCATCTTGATCTCGTGAGCCTGCTGGACGACAGCGCTGTCGAAGTATAGATTGGGATAGATCTCGTAAGGAGCCGGTAATCTCATGTACTTGCAGTCGGGACGATAAAAGACAGCGATGGTAAAGGCGGACGTGAAGACTCCGTCGTTGACGTAAAGACGTGCCCAAGCGGCGGTTTTGTAGAAGGTCTGAAAGTCCTGGGCGTAATAGAAGAGCTTGAAGAGGAGCTTCATCTCCTCACGGTGTTGCTCGTAATATGGCGAATATATGGCATTACGGCTGAGCATCATACCGTGTTTGTACAGGTACAAGAACTCCTGGACGACTAGCTGTGGAAAATGGAAAGAGAACTTAACGAGTCATGAATGTCATGAACATAAAATGGCATGTGAGATGTATGTTCTGAACATACCGCGCGCCGTTATATCTGTCTACAAAACCTATGAGACAAATATATGCACGTAGATTGAAAGGCATTTAAGCGTGTTTAAAAACTGTTTACAAAATTCGAAAGATTCTTTTAGCCAGGCTTAAGCTTATATATATAGTATATATATATAGATTATGAATATGTATAGCTAGGCACCTTGTCCTTGTACATGTCAATGTTGCTTTCGATATCGTACGTGCGGGCAATATCGAAGAATTCCATGTCGGTGAGAGTGCTTTGCTTGACGAAGAACATGAGTTCGTAGATCTTCTTCTGCTTGTGGAGGAAATCCATGTCGGCCGTCTTGCTAGTGAGGTGGAATCCATCCGACATGCATAGCGCTGTTAGCGCTAGCAACAGCAGCTCCTTCAGCATCACGATCAGCCTTCGATGTCTCAAACTCGATCAACAACTACCTCCGCGAGTCAGCAGAGGAGAACGATGTCTGACCGGTGGGCCGTCGCCAGCTTTTATACCGGTAACTGTGTATGATTTCATCTCTAATCGGCTGACCTTAAGTCACGACCTGCCTGTATTTCAACCGTTTTTGCTCGTTATCTTCATTCGCAAGTCGCACCTTACGACCGAATACCCTGCAATACCCATCCACCCGGTATCCTCGTTCGTGTTCGTAGCGGTAATCACGCTCAAGAGTAAAAAGTTCTAGCAGGGTTAGTAGAAATTAATGAAAAATTTACATCGTACCGCGTACGTCATCTTTCGCAATTTTACTAACACGTCCTGTGCGTTAACAAATCATTATGTACGTTTTTCTTCATTATCTTTATAGGAATTATTCCATCGTTGATTGATTAACGATTAATTATTCTGCATCTCAATGTATAGATTCCTTCCATCATCAAATTATAAAGGTAACAACACCCAC